ATTTAAAAAATATAAAATAATTAAATAATTTTATTTTTATCGAAATATAAAAAATATAAATATATAATAAATAGTAATATAATAAATAGTAATATATTATATAAAGTGCTAAAAAACAATAATTAATTAAAAATTAATAAAAGATTTTCTTTTTGTGTTAAAATATTAATTTCTATATTATAAAAAATTAAGAATAGATAAGTAAAATAATAAAAAAAATTTTTTAATTAATAATTTTTACTTTTTAATAATTTATTTTAAAAAAATGAACATAAAAGAATAAAGGAATCATTTTAATTGCAATTAAATTTTACAAAATACAAAATAATACAAAATAATAAAAAAAAATACAATAATAATAAAAAGAAAAGTTACAAAATATCTTCAAATTATTCAAAAATTTTCAAATCGTTATTAAATTTTCATCAAAAAGATAAAAATCAAAAAAATTACTCTATATGTAATATTTAAATAATTGATACGAATATGAAATTATTTAAACACATAAAAATATACAATTAAACAAATATTATTATACGTTAAGATATTTAGAGACGTCGATTTTTTGAAGCCATCTAAGGAATATATTCTTACTGACAAAGATAATCATAATTAAACAAATATTATCATACATTAAGATATCTAAAGACATCAAATTTTTTGAAACCGTTTAAGAAATATAATCTTTGGTTAGTTAAAATGACTCATAAATCCATTGAACGAATCTAATCTAATCATTTAAACTGGTAAAAATCACAATTAAGCAAATACTATTATATATATTTTTTTACTATTTATAAGATTTGCTATTTAAAAACATCAGATTTTTTGAAATTATTGAGGAAATATAGTTGGCTAGTTGAATGGTTGACAAGTCCATCGAATGGAATCTAATTTGATTTAATTATCTAAATTGGTAAAAATAATCTTAATTAAATAAATATTACGTACTTTTTGCTAAGATGTCTAGAGACGTCAGACTTTTTGAAGCCGTCTAAAGAGTATAGTCTTTTGGCTAATCGAACGGCTGATGGCAGGTCCACTGCTTTTGGACTATAATGGAAGCTGTGTAGACTTTCGATATCGCTTTCTTCATCTGCAGATTGTGGTGGCGACGCATGCTTATCTTCGTAATTTCCAATATTTAAAGTTTCATTCTCATCTTCGCTCTCTTTCAACTCCTAGAATTTAAGATACATACAATACGTATAAAATATAGAGGAAGAAGAATATTCTATTTTTTCTAAAAAGTATATTATAACATTGATTTAGCTATCAAATTTTGGTATCATGATTAAATTCTATCTGAAATTCCATTTCCCAAAAATAATTTATCTACGAAAATTTCAATAAAAATTTCCTTCAAGATTTTCATATATGAATACGAATGAACGAATGAAATGAAATTTTATTAATTGAAATTCATTATATATTTCAACATTTAGATTAAAATTTATTAAAAATTAAAAATGAATGTTAGATTCACAAAATTCAAAATAATTTATGAGATTTCAAAATTCTCGAAATTTGGAAACTTGCTAATTTTTTCCTTTCTTTTTCTAAAAAATATCTATTTTATTAAGAAACTAAGATTTTAATAATTTTTTTTTTCAGAAAATTAAATTATTGATTTGAAAAATTGAAATTTTTGGAACTTTAAAGAATTTCGGGATATCTCATATCCTATTCTTATTAATTCCTAAAGATAAGGAAAGATATTAAGATAATTAACTAGTTTTGAAAAAATAACTATGCATTGGAAAGGAATCACAATATTCTATCTATTTATAATTGAAATAAATATCATTAGCTTGAAAAATTTGGTGATTCGAGCATTTATTGTTATATATTATTGTTATATACAATAATTCACGAAAGTATTTCAATGTTTTTTAATAATATATTAATGAACAATTTTTATTTTTAATGAAAGTTCGTAAGTATATAGAACACAATGAAGATGAAATCAAAATTGGAATGCATTTTCATTTTTTTAAATATAATTTTATATGATACAATAGAAATGTTTAGAATTTAGTTCTATCATTTTTTATAAAAAAATTTTAAGAAAATTGTATTCAAAACATGAAAATATAGTTAAATTTTGAGGATTAATTTCATTTCGTCGAAGATTTTTCATTAACAAAAAAAATTAATTTAATTTATTATGCTCTATATACATATAATCTTTAATTAAAATTAAAATTTTCGGGCTATTGTCATTTTTCGTAAACAAATTTATTATATTAATTATATTAATATATATTAATATATTATAAATATATATTAATATATTATTAATATATTATTAACATATTATTAATTATTAATATATTATTAATAAATATAAAAAGAAATTTTCATCATTGAAATTACAAATTAACAATTAATTTTCATTGAACGTGCTAGAAAAATGGTAAAGTCACAATATAAATGAAAATAAGAACAGATAACTTTCTGACTATTTTTGTAATTTTTTTTATTTTTTATGTTTTTCTAAACATACATATATAAAATAATTGGATCAAAATAAAAAAATTAATCTCGTTTATACATATATCAACATCTGAAATAAATACAAAAAACATGTTTAATATCTATTATTCAATTTTTTTTATGATCATCAATTATTTTATTGATATATCTTAAGAAGTATCTTAAAATTTAAAAAAAAATTACGAAATTAAAACATTTATACTCATTTCTGTCACTTATAGCGATAGATTTTATAGCGATTTTGGCATTTTTTACTCAATATTCAAATTTTTTGAGCCAATGATATTTACTTTAGTTATAAAAAAAATTTATAATACTATAGAATATATACTATAGAATACTATAATTTCTAACAATCATTTTTTTTTAGAATATTTCTAAAAATTGATAATCTGCAATCGTTACAAATTGATGTTTTCAACAAGTATTAGTCATATAAAAAAAATACTGAAAAATATATTGAAAATTGGTGAAATATTGTTACTTGTAATCAAAAATCTTGATTTTTAATTGATTTTCTTTCTTACAAGTAACATTTCTCGTAAAAAATATTTATCTTATAACGAATTAAATTAAATTTTCTTCAGAAAATCAAACATTTTGAATTTTCTAGTATTCTATTTTTAATTTTTATTTTATTTTTAATTTTTATTTTTTAATTTTTAAGAAAAATCCGAAAATTCAAATGAAATATTTTTTTCAATTGCTAATTTGGAATAAATTATCTCGCAAAGAGTATTTATTTCATAAAAAATTAAGCATTTGACAATTTTTTTTAAAAAGTTCAAATTTTCTGAATTTCGAGGAGTTTGAAATTTTCAATATTCTATTCATAATTAATTCTTAAAATTTAAAGATTCGAATGAAAGTTAAATTTCATACCTGATACCCAACGAATTCAGGCGTAATGTTTCCAGTGGTGTTATTGCCGGACGGGCGTTGCACGATGTTCTGCGCGGTGGACGTGGCTACGAGTTCCGGATTACCGAGATTTCCCCGTCTTCTGTTCTGCCTTGGACTCGTATTCCTCGTCACCGCGACGTCCTTGTCCGGCCCCTTCACCTGTATCACTATCCTATGCTCGGTATTCTCCTGTGCCGATGCATAAACGTTCGATGTTTGTTGCACAGTGGCCGCAGCAGCTGCCTTCAGCCTTCTCTGAGGTGGTTCGCTGGCGAGTATCGTTGAGTCACTGTCACTCGGATCACTGACCATCATGATATCGCGTGCACTCAGTATGTCCATAGTTTCTTCGTCGTTGTAGTCGGGACTGGACATGTTGCTGATCGCCTCGGACTGGCTGAGGTCACCGTTGGTGGGATGAAGCCCGGAGGCCGAGGATGCGGTTCCGTCGCCGGAGGGTCCCAGGGCTGACGGTGTGGTGCCCGTGGGTACCGGCGGTGGGAACCTACGGGATCCAGAATTGGAGGACATGACGGAGGACGAGACCGAGGTAGGGGAAGTTGGCGATAAGGATCTTTGGGGACTAGTTCCTTCGGTCGAGGAACTACTCGACGAGGATTGCGAGGAGCTGCCATTCTGGCAACAAGAGGTGCGCTCCGAGGCTGATGGCGAGCTGACCGGCGCGTTGTACGTCCAGACGATCCTCTCGCTGGACAAACCTTGGCCGCTGTCAGGCCTCGTGTCCAACAGGGTGTTTAGGCTGGACGTGACGTCATCGTCAATGTCAATATCCACCGCGCTCATCGACGGATCCTTTTGGAATTGCAAGTGGTCCTCGGAGCGCGAGGTACGGACGAAACCGCTCGAATAACCAAAACTCGCGGTATTTTGTTTGCTATTATCGCTCTGGCCCGGACACTGGCCGCTTTCACGTTTGCTGATCCCGACCGGTGAGGTGCTGGCCGAATTCGAACCGGTACACTTGTAAGCACGGTGATGGCCCAGCATCTCGTTAGGACTGGTGGGTACCGAGTTATGATGGTGGTGATTGTGGTGATTATGGTGATGGTGGGTGTGATGATTGTTGTACCTCAGGGAATCGACCTTCTTCTGATGTTTCGGGAGCAAGCCGCTGCTTTGCTGGGTGCGCGACAGGTTCAACATTAGGTCACCGGTCATCATGTACGCTTCAAACCTGAGCCCATTTGGTCGAACGAACTTCGGTTAGTTGATTTGACTTGTTTTTTTGACGCATATTCAGATATAAAGAATACTAGAAATTTCATTTGTTTCCTTAGAATAAAATTACAAAAATTTAAAAAAAATTGAAATCATAATAATATTCCTTTTTTCGAACCAATGGATTAACAATTCCGAAAGTATATATATTTTTTGAAAGATTATCAGAATTATTTTCATTTTTGATCATTTATGAAATATTCGCCATTTATTTCTAAACAATATTGTAAAAGAATAGATAATATTGTAAAAGAATAGACAAATTTTTAATATTTCATTAATATTTTTATCAGGCAGTGTGTGCACGATTTATATTCCTAAAAATAAAATATTGTATTTATTTTATTCTATTAAAAATGCATTTTTATTATAAAAAGAAAGGAAAAAAATATATTTATATAGCTATTATACATAAGAGAATTATATTTTAACAAATATTAAAAAATATTAAAATATTAAGATAGATAAATAATATGTATAAATACAAATTACTTAATTTTAGAAAATATGATTTCATTTTGAATTCTATATTTTATTAAATAATAGTTTTACATTCAAATTGTAATTCTAATTGTACAGAATAAAATCATAAATTTATGATTCATAACATGAATCATTTATGACATGAAATTTTAAACAAATGATTTTTTGAAAATCATTTTTTATTTATATTTATTTTGAATAATATTATTTTTTAAAAAATATATCGTAAATACTTATATATATGCTTTTTAATTAAGATCTTTTAATCAAGATATATATTTTTTTAATTTGTATTGATTTATTTACATTTATAAATAATACTGAATTTAATTGTTATAATTTTTTAATGCTATAATACAATAATAATTAAATAATTTTATAAATATAATTTTTATATTTATGATAATTTTGCTTTACTTTTGATAATCTATTATGTTTAAATGTTTTTTTTTAGCTTCTACATTGAATATGAAGATAAATACTTTATCTTATACAGTATATATCTTATATAGTATTTTTTTTTCACACAAAAAAATGGAAACGTTTGAAAAAAAAATTTTAAATATATGTACAAATATATGATAATAAAAAAATTTAATTCTTCAGAATATTATTTTTTAATCATTAATCATAAAATAATAATATTATAATTGTATATCTAATATTATAATCAATCATTAATCATATAATAATAATATTGAATATTTTAAATAAATTCAATATTGTTGTTCATATTTCTCAAAATATAACAATAAATTAAAATAACACCAATATTCTCATATGTATCATAAAAACAAAATTTTTATTTGATAGAGAATCTACTATAAAATCTTTTTCTAAAATTAAAGTAATTTCTTAAATATAATAATATATATATATTATAGTATATT